GGAATCTGTGCTGATTCTTTTCATATTGTATTTCCCTGAGGATGACTCACAGGAAATTGAGGTTTCAGAAATATGTTGTGTTTTTTATGGCATGTTTCTACCTTCACTGCAGAAGTTTTATTTAAAGATAGTGATTTTGTGGTTGTGTTTTTTTCTCCATTAAGTTTAAAGAAAGAAACTCACTTTTTCAATTAGTCATTTTTTTACGACTTCTCTAATCATAAAAACACTTACACTTATATGACAACAATGATGATGGTGATGATAATCCTGGTTGATTGTGGTAAAAATATTGTAGTCAGTGATGGTAAAGAGGGAGGAAAAAACAACAACAAAAAACAATAAGTCCTCGATAATAGGTAAAATTCTAGTAAAAAAACAAAAAAACAGTTGTTGAATAACTGTTTTGTATTGAGCTATGCTACATATTGTGAGGGGTATATATGGCTTCACCCTGTCTCAATGAATACACAGTCTGCTGGAAGACTTGGGGGTAGACCAGTTGTCTCCAGCAGGGTGTGAAGGTGGTAGGTATGAAAATAGATACAAAATGCAGTGATCACATATTCACTGAGAAATGATTAATCCCAGTTGGAGGCTCACTAGAGCCTTGTGGAAATGTGGCATTTGAAATAGGTCTGAAGAGATTGTATAGACTTTTAAAAAAACACACCATGAAGAGTAAAGAAGAAATTTGTAAAGGTGGAGATGATGGAGGAGGATGCATGAAGAATGCAGCCAGCTCAGAGGTATGTCTCTTCTCTCTCTCCCTCCTTCCCTCTCTCTGACCCTATTTTCCTTCCTTCCTTCCTTCCTTCCTTCCTTCCTTCCTTCCTTCCTTCCTTCCTCCCTCCCTCCCTCCCTCCCTTCTCTACACACCTTATACACCACTAAATATGTAAAGAGATTCATTAATCTCCCCTCAGCAATCAGGGTGATACCCAATGCATGTGATAATAAATATTATTGAAGAAAAGTGGACACATTATGTAAAAATGGGAGCTGAGATAGATGAACAATGCTAATTTGTGGATTAAGGAAAAATTGTGCAATATCACTTACCACATGGAAGTCAGCTAAAAAAACATTTCTGAGCCACCCACCATAACTGCAAGAGATAAAAGGATGAACACAAATTTACAGAGTAAATTTCGTTTTCTGACTGTCGCTCCTAATAGACTGCGAGACATCTAGAAGAAGAACCATATTTTTATTCATTAATAGTCCTTTTAGTTCATATCTATGACACAAGAATGAAAGATATAGTCCCGGCCAATGCTGTGCTTCCCACTGATAGGGGAGAAAGATAGATAATGTAAAGTGTAGGCTGCTGCTGATTATCAGATGGCATGCGTGCCAGGCACTGTGCCAGGCAGTGCAGATACAGAATTTATTTGATGCACCCACCCTCTGAGGCAGATATGCCCAGCATTTTACAGAGGAATTTGAAGCTTAGAAGGCCAAGCAACTTGCCCAAGGCCAGATTATAAATGGCAGAGTTGAGATGAAAACTTTCAGACTCCCACACCTGTGCTCTTAGCTGTTCCTTACACAACTGTAGTGTTGGGAACAGTCGCTTCCCTGGTGGGTGCCCATGTTGAGCCTTAAAGGACGAGGAGGAACTGCTAAGGAAGAGAAGGAGTGGGGAGGACATTCGAGGCAAGAAAACAAGTGGTGCAGGAAACTAGGGCGCACGATTGGAGTAAAAAGACTCAAAGATGCGATTAGAGAAATAGAAACAAGGCAGCTTCTATTCGAATGCTGAACATTCAAATCAACTGGAAACCTCTAAAAGATTAAAAGACTGGGCACCTGTCCAGACCAGGTGAAATAAAGTCTCTGGTGGCAGGGGCAGGCATCGGTATTTTTGAAAGGTCCTCTGGTGATTCTGGCGCAGTGTTGGGGGACAGCCATTGAGCTGAAGTGGTAGGAACCACGGAGGGATTTGGGATGGGGAGGTGTGGTAAGTGGGTTAGAAGGGCATAGAGTATAGGCAGGGAAATCAGTTAAGAGGGGGCCAGTGAGTAATTATGAGGGCCAGGTGGAAGGAACGAGGGAAGATGTGTGAGAGAGATTAGGGAGTAAGTAGAACACTCAGGTTTGGGTATCCATCCGGTTACCCAGGCTGGATAAAATAGGAAGGTGACTCTTCGGTCTGGAACTTTATAACTAGTTAACCATGCTTTAGGTGTCATTTTCTTGGTTCAAATAGACAGTGTTGTATCTGTCTCCTGCATGAGCCCTTACATAAACATTGATTGTAGCGGTCAATTTAGGAATCCAATCCTCAAAGTTATTTTGGGATTACTTGGTTATGTTCTTGAGCTTGAATGCAGTATTGAGCTCCTTGCTGGTGGGAAATGGGATTCTGATAGCCCGTGGCACGAAGTTCATTACAGTTAATCAAGTCATTTCTCGGGATTGACTGATGAAGTATTTACCTAAGCAACTGCCTTGGGAACTGGGGACTCAAATTGTTGCTGCACTTGACTGTTATGGGAGTGAGGACACCTATAAAGACTGTGGACTGGGATGGATTCTCTGTGCTCGCAGAATGGAAAAGATCAACACAGGTCTTTAAACTTTCAGCTCAAGCCATGGTCAGAGAACCACATCACATGCAAACTGTACCTCAATACTCTAGCTACGTCCCCTAAGAGGGCCCAAAGACAACCCTTCCCTAAGCTATTGAGAAACACACACATATGAAAAGTACCTGCAACTTTGAAAGGTCTGTGATGACTCTCTTCTGAGGATGCCAGACCTGCCAAAAGCAGAGACCAACACTCGGTATCATGAAAGCGTCATTCCCCAGGAGGACTACCAGCTACCTGGTAACAGACTCATGACATTGGACTTCTTCCCACATGGCTACAGACTTGTCCTCGTTTAAATAGACATGTATTCTGGACATGGGTTTTCTTTGCTGCACCTCATGTTTTTCCTAGAACCACCATTCATGGACTTACAGAAGGTTTTTTTAAATTGCTTTTCAGCCGCTGGTGTGGCTCAGTGGTTGAGCATCGACTCATGCACCAGGAGGTCACCGGTTTGGTTCCTGGTCGGCACATGCCCAGGTTGTGGACCCAATCCCCAGTGGGGGGCATGCAGGAGGTGGCCAACCGATGTTCTCTCTCATCGACGTTCCTACCTCTCTCTCTAAAATCAATAAAGAAAAAATAGATAACTAAAAAATAAAATAAACTGTTGTTCATTTGTCATGGTATTCCACACAGCATTTCTAAAATGAAAATAAACAAACAAAAACAAAACAAAAAGTCAAATTTTTCAGCCAAAAAGGTAGCAGTGAACTCATACCTATTGTATTCATTGATTTTGCAACATTCCCTCATCACCCGGATGCACTGGCTCATGTAAGGTTGGAAGAGCATACTGAAGACTGAGCAGGAGGACCCGTTGGAGGACAATGCTTTAAGAGGGATGGGGTTTTAGCTTACAGGAGGCAGTATACGATTTGTATCAGAGTCACTTTATGAGGCCATTTCTCCCATCACCAGAACACACAGATCTGGGAATCAAGGCACAGAAGTTGGGGTGACTCCTCTCATTGTCACACTGAATAAGTCACTCACATAATTTTTTATTCTTATTCCTGTAACTTTGAGCACTGAAGATTTAGAAATTCGGTTCTTAAGCAAGACATTGTTCCACCAGAGGAACAGCAATGGTTCCGCTGAATTGGAAGGTGAGACAGTCCCCTACCATTTCAGGCTCCTTGTGCCACTGAATCAACCGACAGCAACAAGCATTCCTCTCCTGGCTTGGGGCTGGGGTGTTTGAGCCCAATTTCCATGATGAAATTCGGTTGATGTTATACAAAGGAGGCAGGAAGGATTATGTCTGGGACTTGGGAAATCCAGGGAACACCTCTTAGTACTTTTATATCCAACCATAAAAGTTAATGAAAAACTACTACAACTACGAAAGACAAACTCACTACGGACTCGGATCCTTTGGGAATGAAAGTGTATCCAGGGGAAGAACCTTGACCAGGGGAAGAACCTCGATCAGTTGAGCTGAATCAGGGGGAATGCGGAATGGGTATTAGAAGAAGGAAGAACAGAATATCTGGATGGGACTGAATTCAAGGAGTAAGTCATGTAGAAAGCTGCCCCCAGATGAATTCACTGGTTATTAGACTTTGTATCTTTTTGTTTTGGGAAGAGGATGATAATGTCTCCAACTGTAAGAAAGACAGTTGCGTGGTCTTAGGCAGACAGGGCATGTTTATATGTGTAACAGTGAACACATGTGAAGAAGGTGGAGTGGATGCTAAGTAGCCAGAGGGATGGATTGTGCCAGTTACCGCGTCACTGTGTTACTGCCCCCAACTCCAAATCCACCCTTGCGCAACCCGCTCTGCGACGCTGGCCACGGGCCACCACGAGCCACTTCTCTGCTTCGTCATCTGGCTCCACGTGAGGCTCTGCCAACAGAGGGCGCCAGAGGCAGATCATGAAATTGGATAAAGTGGAAGCGTGGCCCTTCCTCTTGGTTTCCTGTGGGTGAGTTACCGGCTTGTCACTTCTATGAGAGTCACCTCAGCAACACTCCGTTACCCCAGAGGGGGACTCCTGCATAGAGCAGTAGCTGAGCTCAGCTCGCAGTTGACTTGAGACGCCCAGAGGCAGCTCCCTCAGGCCCTCAGAAACGTCACGGGCCACGCAGCACCTCCCGCTCCCTTTTCAAGCTTCTAAGTCTTCAGAACTTCACCATCATCCTTTTCTGTGCCAGTGCTGGGGAGGAAGTGGCTCCTCGCGTGTGCTAGCTCTGTGACATCATACAGTTTTCTTTTGACACCTTTTTTTTTTTTACATGATTTCAAGAAGAATTTAATATGTTAACTTCAACAATACAACTACGTTCCAGTAAATAATTGTATTGAATGTACAGAAGCGGGTCCTTGGGCTGTGAACAGGAAAGCAATTTGCAATATACCTGACTTAGAACCAGAGAGGGCGAATTAGACAGAAGAGCAATCATGCTACTTCATCCGTGCAGACCAGGGGGTTTGCAGCATCAGAACTGTCCGTTTCAGTTTCTTCTCTCTTGGTGATCAGAGGTCCCACGCCGTGTCCAGTCTCTTCGTTGGGTTTCATGTGTACTCCATCAGAGAACGGGGACTCTTTGGACCTCCAACAATGGCAGTCCACAGCTTTATCTCCCAAATCCTCCGTGTGAAAAGCAGGTATGATCTTGGGGTTGTCTTTCTGAATGTGAACGTTAGCCATAGATTTGCTGTGATGATCGTTAACATAAAGTCTTTGGTAAACTGGATAGTGACACATTGCAGCTGTCCCAGCAGCAGCGGTAACTGCCACAATCCATTCCACACACACGCTGGAAGCGAGACCCATGGCGTGGTCCCTTGCAAGGCATGTGGACAGGACACTGGACAGAAACAGGCTAGCAGAGGCAGACTGAGTCTAGGTGCAAAAGCTCCCTTTCATTTTCATAGTTATCACCTTTATCCCCCCATAAAAATTTGTATTAAGTTTTCTTTGCTGTTGTTTTTATGTCTCTTGACTGGACTTCTACTAATAAGTAACCTTAAGTCTGTGTTGAATTCTATTAGGAAGGGCAGGGAACCACATAAATGAAAAAAGAAAAGGGAAATAAGAGAAACAGAGAAAGAGGAAGAACCATATTGGGATAAATTGGGATAGCTGGAAGAGAAAAAGAATTTAGAGGGCTGGGGTAGGAGCTGGGGGTAAATATCATATTGTGATTTTTTTTAAATGCCTTTGAGGAAGGAAGTGGATGTATGGGCCTTTGCTGCATGACCTCACATGAAACCCCTCTCTGTGTCCTTTCATCCAAGACTAGTAAAGATTTAAATTACAGTTCATGTTGGCCATTTGGTTATGTATGTCTTCTGAATGCAATACTCAGCTGAGACCAAACAGATGGCACAGCTTTACAATAGTTACATTTGGAGCTACGATGTGGAAATGGGACCCCAAGTCTATTCTCTGCAGCACGCCAGGCACCATGATGACCCCAGAACCGAGCCAAGAGGGAATGGCCACTGTTATTCTCCTCCACTTCCCGTGCAAGGGGGCGGGAATGCACTCGGCGTGAGACGGGTGGTCCTCCGAACGCTAGAGGCACGTTTCGAAGGCTGAATTATTTCAAGTCAGGTAATGACCACAGAGAATTTGACTTGTTTAGTGTTATGTGTGAGTTCAGTAAATTAACCAACTCTCAAAAGTCTGATGTACATTTTCCGGTTAATTTTTCACCTAGATTTCAACAGATTTATCAGTTTCTTAAGAAATTGATCCTCTCTGGAGAGAAACAGGTTTGTGGCAACCATGTTTCAGCGAATTAATGTCAAAATGTGTCCCTGTTCTGTCATCTGAAACGGACCTCCAGGAGTGAGCAGCTTGTTTAACCAAACTTTGGTAGAGACACTTGTTATCAAAAATGGACAATTGTGGGAGGAAAACAACACAGATGTAAGTGAAAATTGGAAAGTTCCAGAATGCCAACTAAACCATGAGGTTAGAAAAATACTGGAGCTTCAGTAGACTGTTTCAGTGTCCAAATTAGAAATTATTTGAGTTTTCAAAGCCACAAAAATCTCACTTTGGGGGTGGCTAGCATGACCATCTTTGGAAGAACCTATGGATGAGTAGAGAGTTCATAATTACACATCAAAAGGAGTAGAAATGGCCTGGCTGGTGTGGCTCAGTGGTTGAGCATCAACCCATGCACCAAGAGGTCACCGGTTCGATTCCCAGTCAGGACACATGCTCAGGTTGTGAGCCTGATCCCCAGTGAGGGGCATGCAGGAGGCAGCCAGTCGATGTTCTCTCTCATCGATGTTTCTATCTTTCTATCACTCTCCCTTCTTCTCTCTCTAAAATCAATACAGAAATTTAAAAATAAAAAAAAGGATACACAGTTAGACTAAAAATAGTCTATAAGTTTCCTCTGGTGTAAAGGAATTGTGTAGCGGGACACGTCACAGGAAGCCCTTCACTGTGGCCAGCACTGGGTGACATGGCCACACCCACAGCCGGCAGGATGGGTGCTCTGATTGGAGACACCAACACATCACGTGGGCTGGAGGAGGAGTATTTCCCCAGAGCAAGGCGGGGTGCTGTCTTGAGAGGAAGGGTGGAAAAGGTGCAGAACAGAAAAAGGAAGGCAGAGCCACTGAAAATTTGCATTAGAACAATTATAAAAGACTCCCAGATGCCTTGCACCTGACTTTCTACACAAACGGCAGAGATAGTTCTTCTATAAGGTTTGTAAGCTTCGTAGTTTGTTTAATAATAATTAAAGAAGAGGAATTTCCAGAATGGTTTGATCCAGTTAGTGGTGGCTGTGTACAATGGGATGTCACCAGGCCATGAAAAGGAATGACAGCGTACCATTTCCGACAGCATGGACGGGCCTACAGGGTACATGATGCTGAGTGAAACGAGTCGGAGAAAGACAAATACCATGTGATTTCACTTACATGTGGAAGCTAAAGGACAAAATAAGCCAACAAACAAAACCAAAACAGATTCATAGGTGCAGCAAACAGACTGATGGTTGCCGGAGGGGAGAGGGGTTGGGGGAGTCGGTCAAAAAGGTGAAGGGGTTAAGAAGCACCAATGGGTAGTTACGGAGTAGTCACAGCAAGTGAAGTACAGCACAGGGAATACGGTCCACAGTATTGTAGTAACTACGTGTGGTGCCGGGTGGGTACTGAAAATATTGGGGAACGCTTTGTAAAATATAGGATTGTCTGACCACTATGCTGTACACCCAAAACTAATACAAAAAAATATTGAATGTAAACTGTAAGTAAAAAATAAAAATAAAAACTTAAATGTACTTGTTGTACTGTATTTTCAGCTGTTCTGACACTTTCTGAATAAACAGCATTCTGACTAAATAAATACTGAAGTACCCTACCTAGACCAAAGAGAACCTAGCCTAGAGTTAACTGTAACTAGTTATTCAGAGTTTCGGGCGTTACCTTTGGAATACACTAAAATAAGTGTAATTATTAGAATTTTGTTTATAAATTGACTTAAAGTCATAATTTTTAAAAATCTACACCCCTCCAGATCTTAGAAGAAAAGAAATAACTCATAAACAGAGTTGTTAACCACCTGCTAACATGAAGGAGAACGCCCGGCAAGGCAGAGGGACCCACTAGCTAGTGATAACTCTTAAAGATGAGAGAATAACAAATACTAGTATCAGAAGTTAGTTATTTATTCTGAGTATTTAATGTATAACTTTGAATGATCTTAGATTAACTTATACTCATATATTCAAACAGGTGATACATAGACAATCAATTTATGTTCTCTTGGAAGTGATATATTAAGACAACAACAATGGCCCTGGCCAGTTTGGCTCTGTGGTTAGAGTGTCAGCCCGCGGACCAAAGAGTCGCAGGTTCGATTCCAGTCAAGAGCATGTAACTCGGTTGCAGGTGGGTCCCCAACCCTGGTTGGGGTCGTGCGGGAGGCAGCTACTCGATGTGTCTCTCTCACATTGATGTTTCTCTCCCTCCCTCCCTCCCACTCTATCTGAAGATAAGTGGAAAAATATACCCGGGTGAGGATTAAAAAAAAAAGACAGAAAAAAAAACAACCCTGGCCAAAAATAACACTAAATTTCTAACATTGTCTACTGAGCTCAATCTGCAGTCTCTCCACCAGGACGAGACCCTTGACCAAGTCTTTCAGTTCCTCAGAAGCTACTCTTCTATGTAGGGACTCTCAGATGACAGCTATTTATTTTTTCTCTAATTACAAGTTTGCAGTATAGTCTTCCTTAACTGGATGCCTTATTTGTAAAGAGCTCATTTGTCATGAGCTCCTGTCCTCTGCACACATTACCTACCCCAAACACACTCCCACAACTTGTCCGACACCTTGAGCTTCAGGTAGGGTTGCTAAGTGTTACAGTAAATGGTGGCCATTAAGTCCCATCCCGGGGAACGAAGTGATGATGACTTCCCCTCACAAACTCACGGAAGGTGACCCCTTCTGCCATCGCCAGCGGCGGCTCACAGCAGCCCCAGCCTGGAGCACGTGGAGCATCTGCAGCTCCAACTCCCTAAAAGTCACAGCTAGGTGGGTTCACAAAATCGGCCTCGCCTAGTCGAAGTATCTGGATATGTAAAAATAGATGGGCTGGAGGGTGCTCAGCAGGTGAGTCGGAAGTCACGTCCCTCAGTGCAATGAGGAGAAGCTGAGTGATGCCTTGGGCGGGATCAGTTACCGAAGACTGGAAATCGGCATCTTAATAGAACCAGGAAAGGACTGGACCTTTAAAAGAATCTCGTTAATGCTTCCTCATTCGCCATCTCTTCTTACAGATTGCAATCCTTAAAAGTGTAAACTTCAGCCTGGCTGGTGTGGCTCAATGGTTGAGCGTCGACCCAGGCACCAAGAGGTCGCCAGTTTGATTCCCAGTCAGGGCACAGGCCCAGGTTGTGGGCCCGATCCCCAGTGGGGGGCCTGCAGGAGGCGGCCAATCAATGTTCTCTCTCATCGATGTTTCTGTCTCTCCCTCTCCCTTCCCCTCTCTCTAAAATCAATAAAGAAAAAAAAAATTTGTAAGTGTAAATTTCAGATAAATCTATAAGCAATATATACAAAATTAATGAGAAATAAAAACTAAGAGGTGCAATTCTTATTAGCCTATGAGTAGTAAGCCTGCATAAAGTTGATTCTTATAATGTTCAAACTCTGTATTTTATTTGGAACACAGACAGCACACATTTCATAGTCCAAGGACACTCAGGATGGAACATCAGTTCTCTTGTTTATTCTGTTTTATCTTAAGTAAATTACTGGGTGTAACTAAAGAGACATGGATTGTTTCCTTACATGTATAAGAATAGTAAGATCCACTTTCTAATACTCTTGGAATGATTGTCAATATTTATAAAGTTCCTAATGATGCCTAAAATATAATAAGTGCCCAACAAAACTTACTGCCTGCTTCTGGGTACAGAAGAAAGTAAACAAATCCCAATCTTTCCAGGCAGCTGATTCACACATTTTCTTCCAATTGGTCAAAGAAGTAAGATTATATATGTCTGAGACTTGGGATGAAAACTCTTTCTATGTGAATTTAAATATTGGTTACAATTGTATTTTTCTATTACATGTGTCTTTTACTGTGAGTTTTCTCAATATTTTTGCAACATAATCCACATTTGGAATATCAATGAAAACACTGGGAAAATGACAGTCAAAATGCATTTTCTACAAAGATGTTAACCCACTTCAGTGTAATTGCTGATGCTGGTCTCTGCAGGAAATACAAGGTTTCAGAATTCAAGCAACTTTCACACCATTACTGTGAGCCACGCAAATGACTGACTGTAGAGATGACA